GCTCCGTTGACTGTCCAGCTGCAGGTGGAGAGGATGGGTGGGGTTATCCATGATGGACAACAGCCTGTTCAGTGTCCTCCTCTCCACCACAGCTTCAAAGGGGTCCAGCTTGATGCCGATGACAGACCCAGCTTTCCTAATTAGTTTATTGATCCTGCTGGTGTCACCGGCTCTGATGCTGCCCCCCCAGCAGACCACAGCAAAGAAGAGTGCACTGGCCACAACAGACCGGTAGAAGATCTCCAGCATCTTACTGCACACGTGGAAGTATCTCAGCTTCCTCAGAAAATAGAGTCTGCTCATCCCCTTCTTGTGCACAGCATCAGTGTTGATCCTCCAGTTCAGTCCGTTGTCTAAGTGCACTCCCAGGTATTTGTAGTCCTCCACAACAGCCACATCCTCTCCCAGAATGCACAGGGGTAGAAGAGACGTCCTCACCCTCCTGAAATCAATGACCATCTCTCTGGTCTTGGCCACATTCAGAATACTCACAACATTAGGCTGAGGTTCATCTTCCGCTCTTCTTGAAGTGGTTGTGCTTCTTGTTGCTTCCGGCTAAAATAAACATAAGTAAAGACATTTTGAGTGTTTAAAATGTGCTGTAATACACAACACATTATTTATTCCTAAACTTGCAGAAAGAAAAACTAAAGTGTGACATTTAATCACATATTTATCAATCAATCTTATACACCTTGAATTTTTGTTGGCCAATGATACACATACCCTTTGAAGATGAGCTGGGAAATTGAATACTGTTGGCACAACACCATCTTTAAGCCGGACAGTCTGCCCCGTCCTGTCAAAGTCCTCACTCCTGAAGTGCTCACTGCAGAGCAGCGTCCTGCCAGAGGAAACAAAACCGTCCCTTCTTAGGGCGAGTTCCCACTGCCTCCTCCTCTCTCCGGTTTTGGGAAACCTTAAAAACATGAGAAAGGTAGCCAGATATATAAATTATTGTCAACATTGTCCGCCCTTCTTTCCTTTAACATTAAGGGTAAGGACAAAAATACACACCGAAATTATCATATTTTTGGGGTAATTGTATGTATGTATGTATGTATGCATGTAATGTATGTATGTATACTTTAAGAATAAGACAACCACACTAAGAGTAATAAAAAAGGTGTCCAAAAGAAACATTACATAATTGTGTAAAGAAATGGTAGCAACATAGGCGGCGCATGAGGCTCAGGTTTGGGAAGGCTAAATAACTTCTTTTTTTATCTGACTCTGCCCGCCTCCGGCGTTTATAGAAAAGAGATCAACTCAGTGAAAGCACCGCCTGCTGACCGATCAGAGCTCAGTGTGCGGAGTTTAAATCTATCAAGTCATATTACAGGAGAAAGGAAATACAGTTTAAACTGCCGTATGCAGAGAAGACGTCGACGTGTCGCACTTATCATTCATATCACACTGACATCACATCATCAATCAGATCATCGATCATATAATATCACAATATTTCCTTATCTGAGTCAGCTTCTCGAGCCGTATCTGGCCGTGCAACACTCACATTGTCACATATACTGTATGCAGACGTATTATTTTAAGCAACACATTAAGTTGACGAAACACTCGACTCAAATGTAATTAAAGTCAGATCCACTCGTGTCTTAGATGGGGCAGTATCATAAAACTGTTTTCAAACACTCGGTAGTTTATTTTTTAACCAGTTGTTCTATATTCTCCTTGCAGGTGCAACTCTGTGGCTTGTATCCTGGACTATATGTTTAAGTCATGGATGGTTAAAGTTCATATTTGTCTAATATTAGTTTACTTTTCATTAATGAAGTATGACACTGCGCTGTCAGTACACTTGTCCCCGTTTGTGATTGGTCAAATGTAGCGTGAACGCGTTCTCAGCTGGAGAGAGAAACCCTGGCTTGATTCACCGAGTTGATAACCAGCTTCGTGGACCACTTAGCGAAATCTCATTTGTTAGGGTTAGTTAAGATAACTCAAACATATCCAGGGTCTGTTGAATTGGCTTCGTACAGGGCACAGGTGGCTGCATAGCAGCGCTAATGTCAAAGACACACACATTATACATTATATTTTACCAGGATGCAGTGACACAAATATTTGGGAAGGCTTAGCCTTCCCTAGCCTACAGCACCCGCCGCCCCTGGGTAGCAACATATTCTAAAGAGGCTGGGTCAACATCAATCTTGCAATACTATTATCTCACATAGCCCCACTGATCCTGTGTAGCAGGACTTGTAATGTACATACATCCACTAAGTAATTAACTATTATCCTAATTATAGTCATAATATTGTCATATCTTACACGTGAAAGGTGATTCCACGGGTTCTTGTTTGCAGACTGCGGCGATTAGAGCAGCCGTAGGCTGCACAAAAGTCAAACATAGTCAGGTACTTCTGTAAACACAAAGCCAGCAATTTCCTGTATCATAATGTATCTAAAAATGTAAGATGTTTTTAACAAGCTAAACCACTTGGAAGAAATCATGTGTAACTTAAGTTATGTTGAAAAGAAAGAGCAGTTCTGCCTCTCCCACTGGTGTAAAGTTGCTGGGTGAACTTCTTAATACTAGGTCTCACTCACAGCCTCTTGTTATTAGCCAGCTAATAAATACAACCACATACACAAAGAAAAGCTGCAATTTCAACATGGCCAAGCATCCTGTATCATAGCCATGCTAATAACGTTTATAATAAACAAAACCGTTTGTAAATCAGTCAAGATTTCAGTGATTTAAGAGTATTTGTGTGCAGATCACTCACCTTACAACAGCTACCATAGCGCGTACCAGAGTAGCTGTTGACTGTAGCAAGATGGCGGCCGGTGAGCTACGCTGGAAAATCTCCCATGTATGAGCCATCTAGTGTTTATATATATCTATGCGTACAGCAGACAGTAGCTAGCAGTTTTCGACGGACACAGCCCACTGAAAAATATATTGTTTTATATCAAATTAATGTATATTACATTACATTACATTTAGCTGACGCTTGAATCCAAAGCGATTTACAATAAGTACATTCGACCAGGAAGACATAACCTTGAAGAAAACAGAATCATATATATATATTAGCTGTACACTTTACGAATATAATAGTTTTTTATGGACAACTTTACCATTCAATCTCGTCCAACTGATTTTGCTGCCGTCACTGCTCGGCTCTTGGCAGTTCAGGCATTTATCAAACCTGGCAACCCGGGTTTCCTGGCAGCTGTCAATCAAAGTTCAGTGGCTCCGCCCCAAAGTGCCAGAAACTTTTCACGCGCGCGTAGACAGACTCCGCGAGGCTGACACTCCCGCGAGCAAGCAAGAGGGCTGTCTCTCTCGCGAGCGAGCGCAGAGCCGCTCGCGGGGGTTTAATTTGCGCGCGAGGGTCATTTTATGCGCGTGTAAAAGCACATTTTCCGCTCGTGAGTAGCTTGTTTTACGCGCGAGAATATTGACCCAAATCTGACTCCATACCTCTCCCCAGTCTGTGTGCGAGGGGGCGGGGCAGTTTACACACACGCGGCTGCTCCATGCAGCAACACACGGAGGAGATGGCGGAGAGAAGCGCTCCAAGGTGTGGTTGAATGTTACCCGTCTTGAGGTGGACAATGCTCCTTGCCAAGAGTGTTTAGCATGTGAGGGCGGTAACACGAGCAATGTGTCTAAACATTTAGCAAAAGTGCACCACATTCAGACGGAGGAATGCACCGGGTTCGACTGTCTTTCTAGCAGCTCTGTAGCCCCATCCACGAGTAACGTTTCCACGTCAGGTGTTATGTATGCTAGCAGCAACACACGGAGTTAACTCCATTATACAAACATGGGGTAATGATTAGAGGAAACAGAGTTACTCTTTATTTTGTTAAAGTTTCAGCTGTTCTGTTTACAGTTCTGTCAGATTATTTAATACGATTTGTTAAAACATTGTTGTTTCTTTTGATGTGAAATATTATTTATTTTATTTAAATAAAAAGCAATGTTCATTTTGTAAACAATTTGTTAAGTTAATTTAATAATATATGTATTTTTGAATCAAGTATTCATCTTTATTGTCTTCATTGCTAGTTTCCACATGCCTAAAACAACCTCAAGCTAAATCTAAAAGTTGATGGCTAAATAAGAACGTTTGAGAAATTGTGCAAGCCATACAGTAATAGTCCGAATAGTCGATTAGTCGTTTCATTAATCGATAGATTAATCGATTATCAAATTAGTCGTTGCAGCCCTATTATCCCATGTATAAACAAAACGTGTTATTCAGCAACCCTTGCAATTTGGGATTTTATTTTTGGTTGGTAGACCTCGGTGAGCTGGTCATTTCAAAAGTAGCTCACCAGCCCAAAAAGTGTGGGCACCCCTGATCTATGGAATAGGAAGTCCACACTGTAAAAAAAAAAAAAACCCCGTTGTTTTTACGGTAAAAACCTGGCAGCTTTGTTGCCAGAATAATGATGTAAAAAATACGGTAAACTGTAAACAACTTTACAGAATAACGTGTATATTTTAGTTTAAAACTGTTGTAATTTACATTTTAAATCTGTAATTTCAACAGCCCTTTTCTGCTGAATTAGCATGATCACGTTGCTATTAAACTCATTATTTCAGTCAGATTTACATGCAGTTGTTGTATATTGTACATTGAATCCCATTCAATTTTACAGAAACATACCAAACAAATTATTACATGTTACTTGTTAGACGCTTTTATCCAAAGCAACTTACATACTCAATACTGTGGGCAATCCCCACAGGAGCAATTTGGGGTGAAGTGTCTTGCCCTGGGACACAACGACATGCTGACTGCAGTGGGGTTTGAACCTGTGACCACCTGGTCCCAACACCAAGGCCATGGTCCCAACACCAAGGCTCTATCCACTGCACCACACAAATAACACTGTTTAACTGTAAAAGCATCAGTGTAATGCAGTGTTTTACGGTGAAAGCAACATCTAAATACTGCAATTTAAGTTTTCTGTAAAACGTATTTATTACAATTAAAATGCAGAAAAAACTGTCTGTGAATATCAATCTCAAATATATAGTATAAAACCGCCTGGAAGGATTATTGCTCAGTGGGAAAAAAATGTTTTTCCTATACATTAGTCAGACTGAAAGATTTCATTTAAACTACACTGCCTTCGTATATATATGTTTGACTATTACCAGAAATGTGAAGAATGTAATCCAGGGTACACAGATTAAGCACTTAAAATAAAAAATGCAAAGCTAGATACACCTCAAGAGCCACTGTATTAAAAGTTGAACAAATTCCAACAAGAACTTGCCTTTCCAAGAATCTGTCATTTCTCAACATACATATTGGTAACACATACAAACTAAGGCTGCACAATAAACAAACAGCTCACATTGTCCAGGAAATTCAAGCTGAACAAAGTTGAGAGGTTACTTACATCACATCAAATGATTTATGGGAAATAATGTTTTTAAATATTTTTAGTACTTTATGTCTCATCTCTTATAGTGGGCACCTGTATAATATAATACTCGATCAAAGGTGAAGAACAAGTGGAAGAGGAGAGGAAGGAAAGCAACGGAATGAAACACAAGCAACCTGACATGATGGAAAGTGAATCCGATGAGGAAATATTAGGCATGACTACATCTGGGAAAAAGAGGATAAGCAACACGACAAGTGAGAGAGTAGAGGACAGAGCAGCTCTTAAGACCTGTATGATGCAGCTGGGCGTCAAAAAGCTGCCTGAAGACCCTTCCCTCTGCTCCCTTTTTGTCTCTTGTCTGAGGAGACAACCCAAAGTTATTTTAAACAAGGTTAGGGAGGAACAGGGTGCAAGTGAGGGAAGGATAAGTGGGGGAAATGTGGAGGCTGATGAACTATTGGAGAGAAGAAAGAGGCAGGAGCAACTAATGAAGAAAGACAAGGATGGAAAAGTAGAAGAAAAGAAAAGGAATACTCAGAGGAAGAGCAAAAGGATGACGGCGACAGACGAGGTGGGAATTTAAAAAACAAAGCAAGAGGAGGAGAATATTGTTGAAGGGGCAAAGGAGGCAAACATAGGAAGTGAGTGTTACTTACATCACATCAGATTTATGGGAAATAATGTTTTCATATATGTTAGTACTTTATATGTCTCATCTCTTATAGTGGGCACCTGTATAATATAATACTCGACTGTCACAGCCACAGACTGAGCTGTAACTTAGCCAAAATAAGGGATTGTCTTAGTTGAATACATGTTCATTGCTAAAGGAAGTGTGTACGTGATGAAGCTACAGTTGCAAAACATATGTCAGTGTGTGTCTAAGTGAGATAGGTGAAGAGGTAGGGTCAGCAGAGACCCTTCACTTCAGAAGCAAAAACCCAAGTGGAAAACAAAACACGTCAACATTTTTACACTCAACAGTAATGTCCTGAGCTTTTACATCCACATGAAGATTGTTTAAGCAACTTCACTTTGTAACAGCAAACCGCAAGAGTGGCTACAATGACCTTAAAAGAATAGTTTGACATTTTGAGAGTTACATATTGCATTTTTTTAAATTAGTTAAAAGAACATAAAAAAAAGGCACTTCAAATTGTATCTACAATTTAAACAATCAAACAAACTGTAACTTGGGCACATCGCCACATGCCATTGATCTTACTGTCCATATTCAGACATCACGCCACTCATGGTCCCAAAGTTCCTGTATCAAGGTGAGGACTCTCGGGTTCACCTGAAGACGGGATGCGCGTGTCTTCTCCACTTTGGTGCCCTTCTCTGGGTTGATGGAGAAAAAACACCTTCAAATAAAAATACAAACAACAGAATTAATAATAAAATAGCTTGCCCAACAACAAAAAACTTGACATCAAGCCATAAATGACAATTATCTTAACCCCCAATTCACTGAAGCAGCTGCTTTAGATTTGTTGCAGTTTAATAAAAGAAATGGTTGGATAAAGCCAATCCCAAAAAACACATACCTCTGGACAAACTCCAGGGTGGATGCCAGCTCTGACGGGTAGGCGATGTTGAAGCAATAGTAGCTCCCAAACATCACGGACAGGGCAGAAACCAAGGAGGGGATGTTGTCCTGTACTATGTTTCGATCCACACTCAGCATGAATCGCCTTGAAGAATAGCATGATCGTCCTAAAAAAGAAGAAAAACACAATTCAGACTAAATTAAAACAAGACTTGTCTTCCTGAAACATTTCACAAAACAATTTTAGCACACATGTTATTACATTTTAAGGTCCGTTAAATTGCTCACCATCAATACAAAAATGTATGTATGTGTATTTGCAGGTTAAGGGGAGATAAATGTAATGTCAATTTGACTTGCTTTTAGAGGATAGTTCATATTGTATGAAGGGGGGTTGTTGGAGAAACAGAGAGGGGAACCAGCAGACAGCTAAGCAATGAATATTTTCAAAGCTCTACCTTGCTGTCATACAGCTATACAGTCTGTTTCTGATAGGGACTGAAGCAGCAGGGTACATTTGTGACAATATTATAAATATAGCGTACACATAAACTGAATTTTTAGGTGGCTAAAATACGTTTCGCTGCTGCACCCATCCACAGCTTTATACGTACCCGTACTCCTGCCTGTTCCTCCAAAGACATGTCAGCAATACACTGACTATGGATAAGTATCCATAAGCATCCAAACTAGCCCTTTACGAGCTTACAGTAACAAAAAACATTGTGCAACATAAACGTCTCAAATTAGACAGAAAAGAGAGAAAGAACAGAAAAAAGTAGAGTGAACGTTTTTACTTACCACACACAACAATGGTGGGAGTCAACTGAACTTGGTCCATCTGTACTTCCTCTGCCAGGCATGTGTCCTCCACATAACAGAACATCGTGTCTTCCTTCTCATCAAAGTAGGACAGTAGAAGCAGCACCATGTCTTTGACGTCTTCAGAACAACCACTTAGCTCTCCTCTCATCACTTTAAACTTGGTTACAGCCTGTAGCAACCTTTTGCTCTTGTACACAGCAACAGTATTCATGTAGTTCAGGAGTCGTTTCCCCTTCAGATCCAAATTCCGTGTGAAAGTTTCTTGAAGCTCACTTCCTGTGAGTTCCTTGAAGTGGACTGCCATGCCAAGGTCGTCGAACCAAAACGGCCACTCTTGCAGGAGGGATTTTATATTTTTCCCCTGGTTGACTTGTTTACGCTGCGTGTAGAACGTTGACTTCATTAGAAGTTTGACCTCCTCTGGATTTGCATCAGTTTGCTTAGACATCACCCTCAGTTTTTCCTTTTTCTCCTGCTGGCTCTCTTCGGTCTCCCCAAGGGGCAGGAATTTTAAATCCCATTTAATGCACCCATAAGTGTCCTGGATTGCTGCTCTCTGTTCTGGAGGGACTTCGTCTGTGCGATTCTTTCGTTTTCTTATTTTTGGGGTCGTGGATGGCTTCACATTCTCTATCCTATTTTGTAATTGCTTGACCAGAGAGTGATACCCTGGCCCGATCACGTCTCCCTCTATTATGTCTTGAAGAGACGTAGGATACTTTGCCACTATCTTTTTTGCAACTTCAATAGTGTGTATTTTACTTAAGCAAGTACTTTTTCGCTTCATTTCACACACCAGAATCCGTACCATCTCTCTTCTCATTTGTGGACTAGGTCGTTTTCCTCTCTCCAGTGTCTGCATCAGTTCCTCTGGGAACTTATCCCACGGTATCACAAAGCTATCCATCCAGTCTATATCAGGGCTTTTGCAGCTGTTGGAAAAGGTTGAGGATGAACTTCTGGGTGAATAGGACGGCAAGGATGCAGAAGGTCCTGGGCCTGAGACACAAACAGATGAGCTGCTGGATTCAGGAGTCTGGCCTGAAAAACACACACATAGAAACAAAAAGAGTTATGAGGAACACCGTTTTAATGTTTCTATATTTCTGATTGATCTTTTACGCAGGCTACTTTGGGCACTGGTTGCATCCTGTACTACAATAGTCACAAGTATACATACATCTCAGCTTCCGAGCAGCAAGGACTTTTCTGGCTTGAATTGGCCTCAAAGCTGACAGCAAATCTGCTTCCTTAACAAACTGGAAATCCTCATCGGTCTCCACCCCAAGGGATTGTAAAGTCTCTTCCAGAATATCCTTTGTCATCTCTGGAAGTGATGGCACTGCGTATACATGTTTGCTCCATGTCTGTCATCTCTGGAATCATGGAAGAACGACACTTTTCGGTTTTCAAAATACAAATGAAAGACAAAGATAATTAGACATTTAGTCAAGTAATACTATTCATACATTATATACAGATAAGAGGAACCTCTAATTTGAGTATAGGGTGTGATTGAGGATGTATACTTTTTATTTCTGTATATTGCAGAACAAAAACTGCTGTCACTTTAATATTTTTCAAATAGTATTTTATCATTTTCCCTAAACATACATGTGCATTGTTAGAATGGTTTCAACACCACAGTAGCCAATATCGTGTTTATTTTGACAACACACCGTGTTTCAGCGGGATGACTTGGTGCCCGTTAACAATGTATGATGGTAACGGATATAAATCTACCAAGTCGTTAATGTTAACACATTGCAACCTTGCATTCTGTTTTGTCACAGAGTACAGGTGGTATTCAGAATGATAGTCAGCTTTATGTATATCCATCACAAAATACACAGCTGAATCATTTTGAATTAAAATAATGAGCAGTTCTCCGAACTCCATGGTCTCGTCATTTTTGGACACAAGGAAAAGCCCTTTTTTATATGATGTACCTTTATACTGTATGTCTGTGGAAACACTAGTATTGTTTTCTGAAAAGCCAAACTCTCTCACTGCATGTTTGATTGAATCACTGTAAAGACTGGAGTAAAAAGTACAACTGTCTTTGACTTGCAGAAGTTGACTGCATCCTGGTCCAGCTGAAAGATATGCCTGAAACATCTGATGTCTTTCGGATAAAGTTAGGCAGATGTTTTTAAAGTTTTTCAAATGCCTGGCACATCTCTTGAAGTAGCTGTGTTTACTTTCAAAACGCATTGTCCATACTCTAATCAAGGGGCCACATTTCAAGATGAGTGCCGGATAGTGTCTCATGAAATGGTGCTTTGGTTTTAGTGGACTCTCAGGAAAGAAACACTTCCTTGTTTCCAAATATTCTTGGATTGTAATGTCAAGATAGGCTACCTGTGACAACGAAATATTTTGTGCACAAATCAGATCAACAATATCTTTAAGCTGGAGAGTCAACTGCCACACATCATCTTCTGGATTTTGCACTTTGTCACCAATTAATATAGGCAGCAATCTTAACAAATTCCAGTTCTGAATGGCTTGACCTGAGAGCTTGAATACGTCAGAGCTGACAGCACAGGGCTTAGTGAGAGCATCAGATCCTTTGTACTTGAACTGTTTTATGCGCCGGTTCAAAAGTGAATATGTAAACCATTTATTTTTCTTAATAAAATACTTTAAGTACAGTGCAACATCGTAGGATAAGACACCCTCAAATATGTCATGGCCTAAACAAAGTGGGAGACCTGGCTTGCAAACATGAAAAGATGTCAAGAGCATTGAAGACAGAGTTTGCCTTTATGCCTTTGATGTGTTGACTGTCTTCAACTTGTAGATCAGCAACAGCAGAATCGTAACCTTCGGGTGTGCGCTGTGGTCCACATACATTTGGATCATCACTCTTAAACTCACTTTGTGTGATTTCATAGTACCTGCAAAAGTACTTAGAACGACTAAAGTTTTCAGTGAACCCACCAATACCGTGTGAACCCAAGTTATCACCCGCAATGCAGTACAGAGCCCCTTTGACCATGTCTCCACCTGTTGTAACTATTCCATTTTCCTCCAAATCTTTTAAATCCACTAACATCTCTGAGAACACCTTAGCAAATCCAAATTGTTTTAGGTCATTCTCCCCACACAATAAAACCAGGGACATGTGATCAGTATTAGAGCGCACATGAGCAGGTAGATTTGCCACAGAAAGATAGACTGCAACAACTTTGTGTTTTTTCCTAGCAGAGCCAAGGGGGTTGACAATTTCAAAAGCATCCTGGTACAGAATTAGCTTCAGGCATCTTGGATTTTCAATGAAGAACTGGTTGGACTTAAAGTTGTGGCCATCACTTATGTCACCAAAAACATCTGAGTCTGTTTCACATGACTGCTGTGACATTGAATTCTTCCAAAATTCTGATTCTAATAAGCCACTTACTGTTTGTTTCACAGGTATGTAGTAAGCAAACCTTTGTGTCATACTTTCATCATTTCCTAATGTTACTTTTTTAGGCTCTATGTATTTGAACATCTTTTTGAATGTCTGTCTCTGAGCTCTTGAATATGTTGTTCTCAGTGGTCCCTGGTGACAGACTGAGAACAGATCGGAATCCTTCACACAATCACAGATTTTAGCAATAGCATCATCAGTTAGAGACATGTCATCTTTTAAAAGTGAACGTAGTTTACTTAAAATGTAATCCTGTCCCAACTCATGCACATTTTGCATCTCTTCGACAATGGTCTGTATTGTTGAAGCTGGAAGAAGGAGCTGCCCTTGCCATTTTAAGTAGAATAAGCATACATTCCTAAGATAGGTCTCATTGAAATGCTGTGGCAAATCAGTGCTTTCATTTGTTGTTGCATCATTTGGGCTCTGGGAAGCATCTTCATGTGCAGAACACGGAGAAATGGCTTCCCTGTACATGTCACTTATGCTATCAACAGAACATGCTCTGTGTTTTCTGGACATATGAGCAGTAAATGACGATTTCACAGTGAAATTATTTGTACAACCAGTTACTGGACATAACACAGGTCGTCCCTCCACTATATGATATTTTAAGTGGGATATAAGTTCTTTCACTGTTTGAAATTGGCGCGCACATAACGAAATTGCACATTTCAAATCTGTAACAATGGCTCTAGCAGTGGCTGCAGGCACATTGTGAATCCGATAAAAGTGAGCTTTAAAAGCTGTGTAAGTACAAAATGTTCGCTTGCAGTTCGTGCCAACACATTTGAAAAAATACTGGGGTTCGTTCCTATGCACTCTACAATGCAGCACATAACCCTTCAAAGTCTGTAGCGTTTTGCTGCAAAAACGGCAGGTAATAATTTTTAGCACGTTAACACGACTGCCCGTTAAGTTTGAACCCGCTCAGATGTAGCTTCAAAACCCCCGCTTCACAACAGCATGAATTAAACGAAAATAAAGAGTTCAGCTTTTAGCATGATACTTCAATAACGTTACCAGACTATTTAAATTAACTCCCGGTGAGTAGACGTTATAACTATGACTATAAATGCAATAAATCACAAACAGAAGCTAGTATTGTCCTGACAACACACCGTTGTTTGCTTGCAGTTCGCGCCAACACATTTGAAAAACACTGGGGTTCCTATGCAATGCAGAACATAACCCCTCGTCTGTAGCGTTTTGCTGCAAAATGCACACAATCAAAAACAGAAGTTAGTATTGTCCTGACAACACACCGTGTTATAATTGAAGTTTGAAGAAAATAAACGGTTAGCTTACCAGTGCTACAGATGTGATCCTCCGCTCATGTGCACACAGCTCCGTGGTCCGTGGCAGGCAGACTTGAGATAGACTTGGCCGCGCATCCAGCCGTTAACCTGCAAAAAGCGACTGCTCCCGCGATAATTAAATAGTCCAATGAAATAACAGAAACAAACTCTACTGCTCAGTAGGCGTGTCTCAGTTCAGCGGCCGTTTCCTTCGGAGGCTGCGTTCGTTGACCGCTTGCGTCACTTCCGCCGAGAGGCTGTCCCAATTTAAAAAAAATACAAGAACGTAACGGCCCGTCCACACGTAGTGGCGCGTTCGATTACTGTTTGGGCTGTCTGCCGTGGGCTGCATTCCACTCCAAATTACCTGGCGGCCCCAGAATCCAAACGCCAGCTGTTTTATGGATTCTCATTTAATTTCCAAGAATATCTCAGTTTTGGGTTATTTCCAATTTCAAAATAAACATATGTGTTAACAAATAGAAATAAGAAGTAAGTATGTTATAGTATATTCAAGAATGAAAAAATATAAAAAACATGATTTTAACACTGTCATGTTGTAATTTTAACTGTATTGTATTGTTTTATGTATTACAGTTTTTCTGTGTTCAAACCACAGTAATCTGTAAATTATACAATGAAATATCATTATTTTAACATATTCTTAATGTGAATTTAACAGTTTTGTTTGGTTCAGTACTTTACGAAATATTACTGTAAATTAAACACTGCTTCATTGTTTTTCTATTTACAGTTTTTTTATGTCGTGATTTTACAGCTTTTCCCTGTTAATTTCACGGACTTTTTTTACAGTGCAGGGTTGAAGCTCCGTTCGAAGCTTCAGTGTCAAACTGCCATCACTTCTTACACAGGGCTCTCGACTAACTTTTTTCACCATCCTCCCGGAACCGTCCCGAAATACAATCCAAGCCGTCCCGAAATTAATGTGGACCGTCCCGAATTTAAAATGTTAGTTTTTCTACATTATCATTAGTTAAAATCATTCAAAGTGACCTTTAATATAAATAAAACATCATACAAATCATTAGATGATAATTCATCAACCTTTTTATTTGAGTAAATCATTCAATCACATAAACAAGGCCAAATATATTTAAACAAACACATAAACGAGAAAATTACTCTAATATTGAATCCAATCAAGTCCCATCCAATTAACAAAAAAATCCAACACTGTCCTGAAGACAGAACCCAGAGTAACCACTAACCAGGATGACAGTCTGTAACACAGTCAGGAGACCTTAGGCTTGTTTGAGACGCGTTGCGGCTCGCCTCGAAAGTAGACGAGAATAGCCGATCGCAGCCGGGGGAGGTCTCAAAAAGCTCGCCTGAAGTCGGACAGCTCGGAGTCGGCTTCGTCTTCTTCTTCTCTCGGTTTTTTGGCGGATTGCAAACAACTTTAAGTTGCATACCGCCACTTCCGGAGTCGGCTTGACTCGGTTTGCATTTATAAAGAATGCACACATGTATTTAATCGCAAAATGCAGTTTAGCTTCTAACCAGGTGCAACAAGCAATGAAGTGAAAAGTAATGTACACAATAGACAGAATAAAATATAGAATTAATTGAATGATGAATAAACAGTGAGGGGTATGAATACACTAGATATCAGCCTGTGAGCAGTATGAACAGTGTGTAAGAATATGCTAAGATATATAAAGTATGAAAACGGTAAGCAGTGCAAGTATAGTATACAATATATTGATATTAATGTCATGATGATAAACATCGTGGAAGAATGATGAAAAATGGGAATGGATGTGGCGACGTAAAACTGACACAAAACAACAACAAACTTTTGCTGAGCCAATTGGAGAGTTTCATCAGCAGCACGTGGTAAAAACCACCAATGAGCGCTCAGCTCGAGATACCAGCGAGTCGTTTCCCATCAAGCATTTCGCTTCCGCAGCCCGTGGAGAGGAACTGCTCCGCCTCGCCACGCCTCGCTCTCAAGGCTGCGGGCGTCTTTGTCCCGCGAGATTTCAACGTCTCATGTTGGCGAGCCCCCAGAGCAAGTCGGACAAAATGACTAACCATCATGCAACGCACTAGCAAGACGTTGATCGCAACTGCGCAGGTCTCGCTTGTCTCAAACAAGCCTCTTTACAAACTGCCCCGCCCCCTCGCACACAGACCGGAGAGAGAGATCTCGTCTGGATTGGAAAGCTCGAAAATACATCATAGACGCATGTTGTAGTCTTATTGCATATTAGAAACGGAGTTGGTGAATCTAAAACTGCGATATAATGTGTATGTAGAAATAATACATATGACATATATTTTTTAGATGTCCCCAGTACCGACAAAAAGTCCGATAACGTCGGAGTTTAACGTTACCACTGTCTTTAATAATTCCGGCACGGGGTCCGTTTAATACCGGGGCTCGGTACCCATCCCTACATGGGGAGAGGACTAAATACGATGGAGGGTTTTCTTCTCAGCCTTATTACCCGTAGGGGATGAAGAGGAGTAAGTAAATAAAGAGGCCGGCGCTCCAGGGTCTGGTTCTGCTGTGCGTTTTTGTGATGTAACGGTAAAACATTTCAGAATTCCTCCACGAGATGCCATTGTACATCACTCAACCCGCGACATACACACACTCAGTACATAGCTAGACCCGCAAATTTGCGGGCCAGGAATTCGCTGGCACAGCCAGCGGCACAGCTGTGGCCACGTACAGTGTGTGTGTGTGTGTGTGTGTGTGTGTGTGTGTGTGTGTGTGTGTGTGTGTGTGTGTGTGTGTGTGTGTGTGTGTGTGTGTGTGTGTGTGTGTGTGTGTGTGTGTGTGTGTGTGTGTGTGTGTGTGTGTGTGTGTGTGTGTATTTCGCGGGTTGCTAAATGTTTTGTGGGTGTGTGTTTATGTTGACAATGAGGTTTAATAACTGTGCTACACAAAACGTGCAGTCGGTTTAATTTTCATCGCCGTTTGTAGTAGAGTTAGCAGGGTATTTTTATTTGAACTCTCGTCCTAAATTCGTCCCAAAATTATTTGTTATCCTCCCCGACACAATTTTTTTCGGCCCCGGGACGACGGGACGTCCTTAAGCTCGAGCCCTGTACTTACACCTGCTGAATGTTTTAATTGTATGATGCATTAGAAGCTAAAACAGTGACTTTTAAACATTTTTATCCGGGATAACTCTTTTGAATTTAGTGTTTTTTTTTAACGTAAACAAATTTTTTCAACTTAATCCTAAATATATCAGTAGGATTTGTCATGTGTAAACCAGTTGTATTGCTACTAGTGTTTAAAAACCTTGGGCCACAGACAAAAGTGCAACTGTGAAAAGTCATGTTTGTTTTTGACTAGATACTTGTCTGCTTGGTTTCTCCTGTTGGTCACATAACAAGTATGACCTCCTCATATTAAAGGTTTGCGATCACAGTCTGCCCTGCTGCTTTTGGATGGTGATGGGGAAGGCCAGATCGTTATTCCAGTAGGAAGTCTAAGAGCTCATAATTAGTCGGCTGTTGGTTCTTTATCATCCCGACGTGTTTGACTGCATGGTTTCATCAAATTCTTGTCGGACAGGAACAATGAGATCCCAGGGTTGAGAGAAAACAGTGGGAGGATGTCACTATACCCATACACACAACACAAACACATTTAGCACAACATAAAAAGTGGAGCATTAAGAATGATATGTGCCTCATGTTTGTCTTCACTCTTGTTTACTACCACACAAAAAACTGAACAGCTGGGACTCCTTAAATCAAGGTTATGGTGCAATTTCCCAGAATGCACCACAGTGCCAGTGTTTTTAATCTGGCCAGGAGTCAGACGCAGCAGAGCCAGTTACTGCCCCGTCTGTTAAATCTTCTCTGCAGATAACCAGACTCAGTTTCCCAGCCTGATGACAATCTGTGGCCGAGGCACAGCGTGAGATTGGGGGAAAGATTGCTGGTGTTATGTAATTATGTTAAATGCACAGAATGAGGAACAACATAGCGGCCTCGAGCTGCAGCAGTAATTCATCCTCAATATTAAAACTGCTGTTTGGAAGTTAAAGCTTTTACATATAAACGATTGTTTAAACATGTATGCCCTCGCAAACAAGCTCACAATGCTGATTATCTTGTCCAGCACCCTTTTGGACAAGCTACGGTGTCCCTGAAGGTCAAATCACAAGATAAAAAAAAGAAAAACGAACTTCACAAAATGTTGTTTTGTGATATGTTTCGATTAGGACTGTCAATGTTAACTGTATGTTGTGTATGGTAAGTGTTGTTTACTTTTCCAGTGCCATAGACTAATTTCAATTATTTGTATGTAATAGACTGTTATCTGTTTCTGATTCTAAATATGAAATGCTCTGAATATGAAATGTTCGTTATTAATCCGGAAACCTTAACTAATGCGGATTTAATCCATTTACCAAAGTCGAGCCTCAGTTCCTCCCATGATACCAGTGCAGATGTTGTGCATGAATCGAATGGCTGTGAAAAGGCAAAGACAGCGGAGGTTGTGGCAAAAGAGACATGCATTGCATTGACTGGAGACCATCAGCAAGAGCCATCAGTACCTCCGAGTAACCACACAACTGCGCCCGTTTGCTTGGGGTGACGTGAAGATGAAGGGAAGGCCTTTTGCCGAACCATGCGCTAGTTTCTTGCACAATGGGGGAGAGCGGCTAGGGTCACCGTTGTAGGCATCTTTAAACAGGCTGCCAATAACAAGGGGGGGAAATGTAACTACAGAGGTTTTCTGGTACATTTCAACCTGCAGATTAATCATTTCATCGCATTAGGGGATTAGGTTGAGGAAGTTAAGTGTTGATGAGGTTAAAGTCTTGCAACCGTGGCGTAGTTTGTTAAAAAGCCAAATGTTAGATGTTTACATCTGACGACTGCATTCATGCTTCATAAAACATAAAAGTGGTTTTCATTTGTACAGACTATTTGATTGAACAAAGACCTGTAAATCATGTTTGATATAAAGCTTTTTTCCAATTGTTTTTCAATCCAAAAAAAACAAAAAAACATTGGCTTTTTGTCAAGGTAATCAGGGTAGTGCTAGCTTCTGGTTTGGACTTTAAAAATCTCCCTGCAGCACCA